GCGCCCACGGCCACACTGCCGGCGCCGCTCAATGACGTCACTACGGAGCGCCGCACGGCGCCGCCGGCTGAACCCGGGAAGGAGGAGGAGGAAGAGGCTGCTCTTAAAGGGGCCGCGCTCCGCGGCGATAACCGATGACAGCGGGCTCCGCTGCCGACAGCGATGAACGCGTGTCGGCGACAGCCGGCCGGGCAGTGACTACGACCCCCCCGAGGCACCGGGAACCGTTTATTAACGCAGGGAGTGGCGTTGTGAGAAAAGAGTGAAGGATTTGGTCACACCTACACGTACGCCGTCTGTCAGCGCGCTGAGGCCTAGAGCAGCCTGGAAGGGGCGGTCAGCAGGCAGAGGCCGGCAGCAAAAAAAAAAGAGTTAAGGGTATGCTCTCTGTAGGCACTCACCCCCCCAGCAGACTAGTCACACGGAGTATTACTTCATAGGTACTCTCTTTAATTTCCTATTACTAGCACTTGTTGAGTACTGGTCACCCTGGTCTAGTTTAAATACAAGTTCTCCATCAGTTCTGTGCTTGCAGACCACGCTATTATTAGACCCGGCTCCTGTTTCTTTGACATTAATATTAGAAGGGGAGGTGAGCTCAACCCACCCATGTTTCTATAGGTGAGACACTGCACACTCAGCTGAGACAGGTGGAAGACTCTTATCCACTGTGTCTAACAAATGGAGCGGAATTTGTTTGTCTTTACACCTTCCCATTGCCAAATGCAGCTGAAATAGTGCTGCACAAAGCAGTCTTAACGCCCCACCCACTTCTTTACTTGCTTGTATGGATTGAACAGGCATGACAGTATGCTGTCACTCCTTTTATGGGCTCTTAACACATCTTTCTGCTGCCTGCTGTGTGAAAATCAAGTTCCACATCAGCAGCCCTTTACTTCCAGAAGTGCCAGTTGGTCACTCATTTTCCTACCGGAGAAGAAAAAGTAATGGTTTGACATAAATGCATGGGTCAAGTTTAAGCAAGTCATTGTACTATTTAAACAAACCAACCAACCCACCCCCAAAACCACAACAAGAAAAGAGTATTTTAACCATCCAAAACTTTTACTGGTTTACAATCTGACAGCATATAGTGCTGATATGCTAAAACACTCAATTCATGTTTCCTCAATGGAAATTTAAATTGAACACTTGCTCGTTTGTCGCTTACAAACAGTATTAGTCAAGCTGTAGAGAGAATGAGGCTATTTCTTTAAAATACAACAGTAAATAGATAATTGCTTTGGAATTAGCTTAGCTTGGAACCAAAAGAATCAATGTATGTGGTCATTTGACTTCTGCATTAACCCTGAAAAATAACCAAGAAGAAAAAAGTATCACCTCTTTTGGAAAAAAAGACCTTGTGTTTATGGTAGCTGGTTATCAAAGCAATACCACTTTTGCACTCAAAAATAACTCACTACACTTGATGGCATTACATCAGAGTGTTCACTTTGCTTGTTGAGATTGTTTATGATTCCTGGCTACAGACTGAATTCCTTCATTTGTTCCAAAAAGGATACACACTGTAGGCATGAAAATGATTGTTGTAACTGTTCATGCACCATGCCAGATGTCTTGAAACAATTTGGAGGGCCAAACCATTCTGGTTGAAAGAAACCCTAGTTTTCTATGCCCAGCCTGTCAGATATCTGTCCCAAAAGTGTCCACAAGCAGTCAAATACTTAACTGCTGTCTACAGAGCTAAAGCAATTATCTACTATCATCTGTGACAGGACACCTGAGAGTTGCAGCTGAAAAGCCTCTGCCTTTGATCGGAATATAAATCATTAGCAGCTAAACTTGATTTAATAAAGTAAGGAAGGGATTTGGGCTATCATTTCCATAATCCATCCTTCCATTTTTCTCCATCTTCAAGCAGGAGATAAATGCCTAATCTTGTTAGATAATGATAAATCATTATAGAATCAGTATGTGAACAGATTCCATGAACATGCAGCCCTTCAACAAATGAAGGAAGACATCACAGCCTGTTTTTTTGACACAAAATTATTCTGGTGCTTAGCAAATAAAAAGTAAAGTACAGCTTTAGGCAACTCGGCACATGACATGCTTTGGCCATGTTTATACAGCATTGTCTGTAAAAAGACATTTAACTTGTGACTTTATGCATACTATATAAGAACTTCAATTTCAAAATCTAAAATGTTCTTGAAAATTTACAAAAGCCAAAACCAAAAGCAGCCCTTTTTGTTACTAGTCAGATCACTTCTACTTGTTTCAAAGTTATAGTATATATAGTCTTTGGTTTTAACAGAATTAATTCCAACTTGCTTTTCAGAGCACGCATTTATTTGTTATTATAATAAAAGGCCAATTTTGAAATAGGAAAAAAAATGTTCTTCCACAAGTATAAACCAGCTATATACATCCTCATTGAAGGCACGATAGTTTAAAATTCTCTGTACAGTTGCAGTAAAATTCAAAGTCACCTCTGGAATAAAGTCTGTCTTTAAAGATCCAGAACAAGATTTGCAGCAAATTACAACATGGGCACAGTGTCAGAGAGTTGCTCTGCTAAATTTTTATAGTATATACAACCTGATGCAAAAATCTCAGTCCAATACATTTTCTGTTGATCACCGTATTATGATCCTTTGTTGAAAACAGTTGTCAGTTGAATTCACTGTTACTATAAATACAGCTGAACAGTCCTTTAGAATATTTTTGTGAGTTTATGATCTCATGACAACACTGAGCCAACTACTATAGTGCAGTCCAACCAGACCTACACCAAAAAGCCTCTAACTTTTCATATTATTTCAAAGAAGTCTACTGTGATTATGTACAGAAGTTTAAGTGATTCTTGTTGCCTTATTAGTTTGCTTATAGAACTTTAAATATTTAATAATCACTATGCCATATACATTTGACACTTCATATTGGTTAATTTCTGCATGTCTTATGTAGTGTTTCAACATCAAGACGTAAGTAGAATAGAAAAATCCTTTCTTAAAAGTGTTACTTCATTATTAAAAAATGATAGATTTATATGAAGTACTAATAGCTTAATACAATAGCTTGGAAAAAAAGGATTTTTCAATTTGCCAGCAACTGGGGACAGTGGTTTTACAGTTAAGGCTGCCTTTCCTGTACAGAATTATGCAGAATTTAACAAATGTGTGTCCACTACTTCTAGAGAAATCAATACTTATGAATGTAGATAAGGATTTTTAGACAAAGAATATAAACTAAATAATGCTGCTGAACACATTAAATTGGTCTAAAAACATATCCAGTTTAGATACAGAGCAAGATACAGTTATGGTACGTTCTGAAAAAGACTTTAAGGATTTAAGTGTAATAGAAAAACTATCATTTTGCAAGGCTCCTACTTTTCTTTCTTTTTTCCCTCCCTCAAGGCTTCCACTTTTTTATTAGTCCCTCAAATCTCTTGGGAGAAGTCCTTAGCCGATTTATTTTTGTTTGGTTTAAAGGGATGTCCTTAAACTTAATCACAGTATCAAGAACTAATAAAAAATTTAAAAAGTAGAATTACAAATAAGATAGCTGTGAAAGATTTCTCTTCAGTGCATATGAACAAGGCTGAACAGCTCTACACAATGAATCCAACTGTTGTGTGAAGAATCCTTTCTCACTAATGCATTGTTTTCAAGAATATACACACCCCTCTATGTAAATAAGCACCCCAGAGATTTTCTAACAAACATTTCAACTGGGTCATTATTTGCCCAATGATCTTCAATGTCCCATTCTTTGACTACAGACAATTATACCATTGATTTGCAATTACATTTTTAGTAGAAAGCACAGCCGAAGTCTTGAAATACAAAAAAGTTTTTTAAAAAAAAAAATCAAAAACTATGGTACAGAGACTGGTGCAGTTACTGTGTCTCAATCTGAAAAACGTGGTGCATACCAGCAGATTATTAACATAGCTTTGCTTTGAAAGGAACGGGGTTTCCAGTCTTTTCCCTTCTAACCCAGGTAAATGTAGTCCAAGATTGTCAAAGCCCACGGTGATGAGCGTGCCTCGACGACCCTTGAAATCTCCACACAGTTTTGACAACAAGATCTGCTAGTTGTCTCCTTCAACCCTTCTCTTGCGAACTGTAACAAGAGAGAAAAAAAAATGTTTTACTATTTTATCACTGTAACTACTTTTCGTATGTCTACAACATCAACAGTTACTTAGCTGCATAAAGTTTCACATAGTACAACTTACGGTAATTAACACTTAGTATTTCCCATCATTTTAAGCTTATGCTTTAGCAGTGCTTATTGCATTATTCATGAACAGCTTCAACTATTTGTGAGGAGAGACTTGTGGGAACCATTAATCATTTTATGTTTGGTAAGCAGATTTAGCCAGCATGCTTTTATTACGTTGTGGTTTTCTAGTGGTGGAGATAAGTTCACACGGTTTCAAAAGAAACAGTACAAGAGTTTCACAGTATATCTAATACGATTTATACACTTTGCAAAAAACAGATGTTACATTCAATAGCCTAGAACATTCCATTTATTAATAAAAATTATTTAATTATCAGAAAATGCAAGAGCAACAAAAATTTGTGAATAAAATCACTAAAAGCTCGCATGCTGTTTAGACTTAAGAATATGCAAGATTGACTGAATGACTGGAGTTTTGCTCAGTATTTGTAGTATTTTTAGTTGATATTTTCTTTTTCCCCTATCAAATTGTGTTTTCCTTTTCTGTGCAGACATAACAAATGAAGCTAAGGGTCTTAGAAATTATATAGGGCATCTCAATTTTGCTTAAAAAAGTGAAGCAAGCACACCTATATAAGAAAGTGATTCTGTTCTCAAATCCACTCATTGGAAATTATGTAGTTTTACAGATATTTGCAATTTGAGGTGATCTTCTTTCCCTCCAAATCAAAATAACACAGGGAAACTGTTTTGTTTCCCTTCCCTCCTCCTGTCTCAAGAAACACTTTAGATACAGTCTAAATAAACAATCAGAATAGAATCACACTAGAATTTTAGTCTTTACAAAGCCAATGTATTGCTCACTTTGAGAGTAACCCATAGACTTATCTCCATTTGAATCCAAATCGTTTTCACCAATGGCAGAAGTTATGCATACCCACTTTCATCAAATCGCAAGAACAGATGGAAGAGTTTCCAACCTTAGACTTCTCCCATCATGCAGTTATAAGCAACATGTAGAGTTTCAGACAAAGAAAAGGTAGTAGTACAGCACAGTGTAAACAAGGGAGAAAGAAGATGTACACTATTTTTTTTTTGAAGAAACGTACAAAGATAGAAATAAGAGACTTTGAACATCTCACTGCTCAATACCCAACTGGGTATTCAGAGTAACCTGTCTCTGTAGCTTCAGGGCTGGAGAGATGAAAAGATATTTGAAGAAACTTTTACTTGCATGCTCCAGACTAAGAAAGCAAAGAAAAAAAGGCAAGATATCAATAGAAACATAGATTTCCAACAGTCAAAACAGTAAAACGAGAACTAGTGAAAAGAGAAACCTTAAAAGAAAGTAGACACACACCTGAAATATTATGACAAAAAAATAACCACTTTAGAATTTATTTTGAGAAACAGTTATGCACTGTGGTCTATTCTGTTACTCCTCCCCTCCATCTCTTTCAGAGCTGTTCTCCACTTTAAACTTTACTGAGAGGGGAAGCAGATCTTTGAACCATATTCCAATTTCCTACATCATTCCCTCTAATGTGTTTCTGAACTACTGCTACTACTGCTAAACTGCCTGGCCCATACTCATGCTCATGAGATGTGTAATCCTTACCACGAAGCAACTAAAGCCAAAAAGTTTAATTAAATGGAGTTTTAAAATGTAATTCTATTTGAATAGATGAACCACATTATCTTCTTGTAGTTGAGAGCTCCAAGTATTTGACGTTATTATACGAACAATTTCCATTCATGTGCTATATTAATAACCAATTTTCTGCTAGTCCATTTAATTAGAATTCTAACAGATGAGCTCAAACGGAACTTACTGCAGCAAATAAAGATGCCACTGCTACCAGCTACCTTGAAGAGAAGCAGGGAAGGTACCTGTGCATGACCAGAACCATAGGGGAAGAGATGACCCAGTCCCAGCCTCTGCACATGACAGTATGTTCAGTTTCCTTGCTCAAACAATCCAAATGAGTCTGGGTGTACTGGCATTGAAGAGGGCATCCTGCACTATTAATTTCAAGTACTGCTTTTAAAGAAATGATGAATTTTAACTGAATAAAACTGAACAATCAAAACTACTATTGTCCCTCCCTTTGCCACAACTCATGGAATTTGAATGTTCTTGTTCTAGACTATGCTAAAAATCCTCAACTCATACACCTGAACACTCCACAACAAAATAAAAGGAGAACATCGAGCAGCAACAGAAGAGTAGGAGTAAAGCACAGGAGAAATGTGAATATGATCTACTCATATTTTGCTCTCCTGGTTATGTCAACAGAAAAGCAGAAAAACCAGACACCTTTAAAACCTGTGCCAGACACACATTCATTTAATAGTCACTCACTACTGACAGGTCTTACCCAAATCATTATTTTTTGTGATAGCTGCAGCTGCCCTGGCTCGAGGTCCCTGTTGTGTGAAATGGTATCCAAATTTTAGGATCTTGGAGTTTTCTTCAAGCATCTTGGCAATTTCTACTTCTGCAACTGTGCCCAGCTGCTGCCTCTGTTAAAACGAAAGGTACACAAAACCAACAGAGCTTATGTGAATTCACCCTAAGAAAGATCGGAATACTTTCGTCATGTTACTCAGTAACACTTAGCTTCATTTTGATTGATCTAAAAGGCAGAAGGTCATAAAATACGTTTGAGCACTTTAAAGCACAAGCAAGCACAGAAGTGACCAGGAATCAACTTCAACTGGATGCTTCTGAGAATCTTAAGGACAATGATTCATGGGGTTAAGATATTTAAAAGTAAAATATTTTGGAAAGTTTATCACAAGCTGCCTTCTAAAAATATTCAGTCAACTAGGATAGACTGATTTTAATTATGATATTACCACCACCTCACTTACCTGATTATCAATTTTGATCTCTGTCAATGTTTCATTGTCTTTCAGTGCATCGACCAGTGCCAAAATTCCAACTCCAGTGATGAAGTTTGATTCTATGTTTAAACTTTTTAATTTTGTGTTTACTCTCAGCATATCTGCAAGAGCCTTTGAATGCAAGAAAGCATCATTAAACTTTTGAATTTTGCTATGGTACATCATGGGACACAGTGATAACCATTTCCACTAACGAGATCAATAGGAGCAACAAGTTCACAGATGCATGGTCTAACTTTGCAAGTTTTCACTTACAATTTGAGACTGAAGTGAGTCGTCAACCAGGCATTATCTACATTCATTTTTTAACAGTATTTAGTCAAGAAAAGGCCTGTCTTTCTCTTGTTACAAATTAAAAAGCTACACAGAATATCAATTGTCTGAAATTAGCATATTGGACCAATTCCATTTTGTAAGCCTTTGCTGCATAGAATGAGTAATGCAAGCTGCTAAGTAAAGGCCAAAGAAAGGGCGTTAGTCAACTGAAAGGAGAATTAGATATGCTTAATTTGTAAGCAGGAGATCTGACTTTCAAAATGCTTGTGTCTACAGATTTGTTAGGAATAGGTAAAATTCAAAGCTCTAAGCACAGTACCAGCATGTAGCTAAAAGCACTCTTATGGAAATGGCATATATCTGATCTTATTTCTGAGAAAATATGAATAGGTAACTGCTGACATTTACCATCATAAAAATCATAACCTTTAAATTTTTTTGTATCAAGTCACAATGCAAAAAAACCCCAACAAAACCACACCCAAGAAAATGAGCCTTTGTAGATTTTTATTACAAATGTTTCAGTTCTACTGAAAAGGAACTTTTTAATTAACCCAAAATAAAGCTTTCAAATGTTCATTTGTTCATTTAATGGAGTCTTTCTAACTAGTTTTCTTTCTAATTTGAAACTCAAACAAATGCAAAGGATTGTCCTGGCAAAACAGTTAGTGCTGTTTTCTTACCTCTTTATTTGCAAATAAGTAAGGTACTGCTTTTGATTCAACATAGGAAAAACAGGACCAGATGATAAATACTGAAGCTGCAATTGTGTCAAACTAGATACCTTAACTAATATTATGCTTTACATGGCAATGCTTTAAGCCAATCTTTGGTAGCAGGGAGATCAGAGAAATAGATGTTTTACAACTTTCTTCAACTAGAACTCGAGTTATTTGAAAGAGATTATGAGCTTTTTCAGTCCTCAAATGTGCTTCTTTTAAAGTTATTTTTGAATATACTATTGGCTTGTGGAATGAACATCAGGAACTAAACAATTAGGAAAGAAAGAAAAACAGGAAGGAGGTTAGCAAAATGAAAAATCACGAGGAAGGGATTGGAAAAAAAGAATTCTCACTCATCTTATCCATCTGATGCATCGGTGCATATTAGTCAACCAGCAATCATTTACCAACTTTAATACACTGTAAAGTATGTTTTCTTTAACAAACATGTGTTGTAACGGAATTTAATCATTTTCATTCCTAAATATTTAAACAGGATTCAATTCAATCCCTTACCATTGTCTTTCCATCCTAACTTCCCTTGCACCCCACTTAATCGTATTAGCAAGAGTACTTACAACAGCAACAGGATCATTGCTTCGGGTGGCTGCAAGGCTAAAATTCTTCACGTGCGTGTTGGTTTCTAAGGCTTTTGCAAATTCTTTCAGCGTTGGAATTGGTATGTTCTTGAATTAAAAATAGCATTTCACTCTCTTGAGATACACGAGTTTCTCCCCTCCCCCCAACTTCTTCCATTATCTCATTCTCTTTACAGCAAAATGTACTATAATATTAACTATCACTGGCCTCCAGCAGTCTCAAAGTAAAGCCCTACATGTGTAGCAAAGCTACATGTAAGATGCAATGGCTATTAGAATCACCAATTCTATAAAGCAAAGCCATCTTTACTACATTGATGCCATTGCCACAACAGAAGTGTTAAAAATATTTAGCTCACTTGGAACTGTTACTAAGCAAAATTTACATGAACTGAACATTCTGCTAACTCTCAGCATAAAGTTAACCTCTCACAAATATAAAAAGCTTTATAGCTTTAAACTGGTGAAACCATTAGCGTTTCATTCTCTACGTACTCTTAAGAATAATTCCAGAATTTGCCAATTTATTGTTTGATAATGTTTACTGTGTAGTAGCAACCAAGCTTAAAAGGAATAATTAATAATTAGGGTAGCAAATTTCTCAGTTTATTATACCAGAAATTTTGTTCTCTTGCCTTTTTAGGCATTTATTTTGGCTAGCATTTCTCTATTGTACAATATTCTCGAACCATATATTTTATTTTCTTCCTTTAGTAAGGGCAACAAATAGTGTCACTGCTGTCTGCACTGTAAGTCAGGAGTGCTATAGTTCCATTTTCTTTCACTCAAATACACAAAAGTTTTAGTCATGTTTAAAAACACAACTGTTACAACTTATGAGCAGAAGCTGCCCTAAGCTGCTGATAGGTCTTTTGTTCAAGAATCAGAAGGATGTCAGGTCCAACTATCGCTTTGTTTGCAACAGCAGTAACTGAGAGCACATTGCTTCATCACGGACAAAGGATTCAAAGTAGTAGTTAACTCCACGATGGTGATCTGCTGGAGCTGTTGCCAACTTGGCACCAACAGAAATCTGGGCTGGCAGTAAGAAAATCTAAGACTTTTTAAATACACATTTGGCAAAAGAAACCAAGATGGCTTATCGGCTTAGCTCCAGGTTTCTGAGATTACACACACTGCAACATTAAGCAGAAAGGCTGCTGTACTTAAAATAAGCCTATCATGCTCTTTTGTAGAGTTTTACAGCTTAAAGTGTCTTCTACTGAGAAAAAGCAGCATATTTACTGCAGACTTCAGGTAATTACCTTAATGTTATTTAGATTAACTTCAACAAGGCGGGAATCATTATCTTTAATCCTTTGCAGTGTCTCCTCCACATTTGTGGGATTTGGCGGTTCATCAAAAACAGGCAACATTTTTTCACCTTTTACTATATCTGAAAAGGCATTTAATTGGAATCAAACAGGTCACATACATTCACTGTGAATAACTGATACACATACTAAATATTTACTGTATTTAAAGATCATTTAATCAGTCTTTACATCTCTCGCCCACCCAAAAAGCATACCATCCTCTCCTGACCATATTTTCATAAAGTTCAATTCTTTTCCAAAGCTCCTCACAGCATTTCTGCTTTTCTTGCACATGAGCTTTTTTCAGAAAGCACATAGGAGTTGAATTACAAACACAAACATGAAACCTAAAAACCAACACACACAAATGCATGTTTATGCCTACTTTTATCCCCCCAAAAGTGAATTAACTGCAGAATATATTTTAGTGTAAGTAGATATATTTTAATTCCACTCTTGCCAGAACTCAGTTAGCAATGTTAGACATGCACATTTCCAATTCAAGACTGTAGTCTATAAGAATGCTAGTGCAACAGAAAATAGTTAAAGCTATAGTAACTGTGTGCAGTACAAAGAACTCATTTATCTAGCACTTGCGTACACACTTACTTGAGAAGCTGTCTTTGTCAATCCCATTACTGCTTCCTACTACATCACAGAACTGATTGTTTGTTATCAAGTTGGACATTCCCAGTATAGCTGTAAGGGGGGGGG